ATTGAAATCTACAAGCTAATATTCACACTATATTCACATAGTCACATAATGCTGATGTTGTTAACATGAACAATTTGAGAATAATGTAAAACAAAAATAATAATTTGTGTGGTTTGATGTGATATGAGCCAACCGATCTTTAGATTAAATCACCATTGGTAGCGCGATTTATTGTAATGCTTTTTTCCTCAGTTGGTCAGAACAAACGTGGCAGACTTGTTACTTGTTCAGGTGACAATATCAGGTGAAAATTCTTATTTGGCTCATATATTCCAAGACGTAGGCTAGAATCTGTGTTTGCGAAGTACAGTGAATATCCACACCTCTGCGGCCACACATACTCCTCAAAACATTAGATTAATCCGCGCTGGAGCCGTGCCGGAGCACAACCCACGCAAGGAAGATAATTCCGCACACAGCTGCAATAGCAGGTTTTCAAACAGAGATGGCGACAGAGGCAAAACTTACGGACTGCAGCTTTAAATGACCTAAAAATGAACAGTAATCCCTTACTGTCACGTGTGTGTGTTCCTGTTTAGTTCCTGTTTGACCTTATTTGGTCCTTCCAGTTCCTTTTCCCATTATTAGTAATCACCTGTTCCTTGTTATTAGTTATCCTCATCACCTGTCTGCCCCTCGTTATCTACCCTATTTGAGTTTGAGCCCGTTCTGTTCTCCCTTGTCTGGAATTGTTCATGTCAACCTAGCTATGTGTGTTTTTCTGTTTCCTTTTGATTATTAAAATTAGTCAAATTTGCCTAGATCTCCTCGCTCCTTTGCTCCATGCTCCTACACCGCAGCAGTTCCGTGACACTTACTTTACTTTTTCAGTAAGTAATTTAATTACAGAAACGGGAAACAAACCGAAACTAATCAGCAAGGAGAGCAGTGAGTGATTTATTTTTTCTTTTGTTCTTTGATTTCCATCAATGACACAGGCTGCAGCAGGTATCACTTTAAAAGCAGCACTGTCTCTTTAAAACCTGATGCATATGACGCCGATCTGACACGCATCTGATTTTACCCCAACTCTTTATGGTCATTTAGGTCTTTTTATTTAATTTAAGAATGTTTACGAGGCCAAAAACGGGCATTTTGACATAATTTTTGTATGTTTTTGTCCATGAAAGAGAGAGTGCATTACTGGCCAGTATTGAATTAACTGTATCTCATCATGCTTGATAGTCATGCTTCATAGTACTCGCTCTGTCTGCACAGTGTGCGTGAACGCACTGATGACGTATCCTGTCTGCGCGAACTGGGTGCGCGGGGGTATGCTAATACATACGTTGACAGGCAGGTAGGAAAGCATATTAACTTTAGTTACTGCAACACCAGCCAAAGGATGCCAGGAAAAAGGGAAAAAAATTAATGCTGTGATAATTGCTTTAAATATTTTTAATTAAAACAAATCTTTTTGACAGCCCCTAATTATTATCAATCTTGAACGTAGTTGTGCTGCTTAACTGTTTTTGTGGAAACTTTTTTTTTTAGGATTCTTTGATGAATAGAAGAAAAAAAAGAATTACTTGAAAATAGTTAGTTTGTAACACATTTTTTTACTGTCACTTTTGATCATGTCATTGCTGATTAAATGAATAAAAATTAAAATACATTTATTTCAAAATTAGTTGGCTTATCATGTAATAATAAAACAAATTAAACATCAATTGAAGATACTACTTCTAACATAGTTTTTTTAATTTTTTGTCCTGTTTGTGTTTTCTTTTTTCAGAAAA